TCATGATTTTCAATGGAAAAATTACTGTAGCGATTTGATGTATGTAAGGAAAAAAGATAATAGGGAAACGTGATCACGGAAAACGACGCTATTTTCCGGCAGAAAATGACAATCACATCTTTCTAATCACATATATGAACTTTCGAAGTTCAATCATGCTCAAACTTGAATTAAAAATTAAGATTTTGTCTAACAGATGTTCACTGGGCATTTGTAGTATACTTAAGTCACACAAAACCTACATTGAAATTCATACACAAATAATTATTTTCCTACCTCGTATTTATGTATTTTTTTTATTTAAGTTTATTATTTTTTCAAAATTCCAACATCTGAATGAAATTATTGATAGATGCTAGTACTGTTTTCAAGACCAAAAAGATATTAGTCAAGTGGTCGTGAAATTCTCGATTCTTTCAAACCTTTATGGTTGGCATCCCTCTTTAATTATAAAATTTGGAATATCTATTGAACCCTCAAAAGAAAAAGTTATTGGTATTCATCCTTGGAAAATATCCTTTAACGTCAGATTAGCTGCTTGAAACAGCAACCAAAGCTCTCTGCATGGCCAGTTGCAATTAATGCTTGGCTCTACAAACGTACCATGTCGACGAAGCGCGCTAATTATTTTCGCTCAAATCAATGGAATTGGCCCATTTCTGCCCGTTCGCCGTTAATTCCCACAATTTTGGTTGACAATCAAGCTTAATAACTCTAATAATAGACAAGAGTTCTACTTTGAAAAGATTGTTCATAAGTAGGCTATAAATGCGTAGAGACAATTTCGTATTAATTGTACACATTCAGCTTTAGCAGTTGGAAATATTCCTCAAGTTTTAGTGTCTTTGGTCACGTACAGTATTAAAATTTTGCAAAAAGTACAGTGAATTAGAAAAAGTATATACACGAAATTGAGGGTAATAATCATTAGTGTGTATATTTTTTACATGATAAGTTGAGTCTGATTCAGACGTGTTAACGAATAGGGTTATTATCACTTTACCCCCTTAACATTTGGTACCACCCTCCATTGTTGTTATTTACTCAAGTTTGGCTTCGTTTTCATAATTTTTTCCCCAATTGATTGCATCCTATCATCCACCCGCAAGCTTGGAGTTGGAGACAAAATAAAAGTGTGGTTGTAATAATCAACTGTTACTTACAACCAACCATTAACTTCTAGTGTCATATACTCCCTCCCTTTTTTTATAACTGACGTTTAAGGTTTTGCACACCAATTAAGAAAAGTTTTTCATTGTTTAAATCTATACACTACTTTCCTTTTGTAACCTCATTAATTGTCCAATTCACCCATATTTTCTCTCACTAGAGTATTAAATGGTGCTGTTTTACTAGGCCAAAGCAATGCAAACTAACTCCCACCAATTATGAAAAGAGAGATAAAAGGGTAAAATTGTGAAAAAATAATTAATGCTGCATGGGGATAATAAAACGACAGATAAAAGTACTTAAGAGCAAATTTCTTAAACGTCAGTTATAAAAAAAGGGAGGGAGTATATATTTGGAAGAAAAATAATACTTTCATCAAGCAAAAGAAGTATGAACATCAACTTCCATCCCAATAGCAGTAAGGATTTTTCTAATAAAGGCACCCATTGATACACTTAACATTTACCTAATCTACCTACCGTGAATATATATATACTAACAATTATTATCGTTTCTTGCATTTATACCCTTTTTCTATTTAATTAATCTTGTCTACTCTCTCTTGTATACTATTTATTCACTTTCGCTAATTAATTTTATATTTCTAAAAATACGACACCTAAAATATCTCTTAGTCAGACCGTAACACTAATTCAAAGGAGCCAACAAATTTTTATTAGCAGGATAGGGCTGTTTGACAAATCAACATGAAACTTTGTCGCTTTGCACTTAACATCGTTGAATCATAGGACTCCTTGATAATCAACTAGGAACCTTGTCCCTCAAGACTTAACGTTGTTGAAGATTAGGATTCATTGATAAATCAACCTGGAAATTTGTCTCTTAACACGTAACATTGTCCACTAACCTGCCAACTTATATTTGTATATTGTCTCCAAGTACATTACTTCATGGAGGCCACAATGTTGGATGGCTCCCCCGCCGCCTTGATCAATCTCAATTGTACTTTATCCCCCCTTCATCAACACCAAATTCGTCCATCTTCTGTCTAATAAATGGCTTAGGCTTGCGAGAACAGTAGGCTTGGCTTTTGTTGAAGGCCATGAGGAGGACGATGAAGAGAAAACTGAACAAGTTGATATAAAGCTCAAATCGAGTCAAGTCTTATAAAACTGATTCTGATTCTCTCCCACAATGTAAAGCTACTAGCTGGATTCGGACACAATCTTTCGTCCGCATGCTTTGCAATTGCATGGATATAACATCACAAATAAATTCGCAATTGAAATCGCGCTCTGATAAAATGTAAGTATTAGCCGGATTTGGAGACAATCTTTCATCTGCAGATTCTGCAATTGCATGCACAACGCCATGCATCAACTTCCAATTTGGGTCAGGCAGTAGTTAATACTCCATCCGTCCCATTTTGATGGTCATGTATTCCTTTTGTCATCTGTCCCAAATTGTAGTCCACTTTCTAATTGAAGAATGTAGTTGTATTTTAATTTTCCTAAAATACCCTTATTCAATGTAAGTAGTTGTTACTGTAAATCTATTCCATGTAATGAGAGTTGATTCTTTTTTTACCATCAATTCAAGTTCCCATAAAGTTGTACCATATTTAATGTGAGAGTATTTTAGGAAAATAGCAATCTAAATTTACTTTTCCAACAAAGTCAACTACTTTTTTTTAAACTGTGTGAAAAAAAAAAAACAGAACTATCAAAGTGGGACGCATGGAGTATAATTTAATCTAAATCATCTAAATTTGAGGTCGGATTCGAGTTCAAATTTTATATTAAAACCTCGTTAGGTTCGAAATTAAATTTAAGTTTGATAAAACTAAATCGAGCTCCATTCTTGACTCAGTTTCTGCTTAATTTAGAGCCTACTCTTCTCTGGATGAGAATCAGTTCAAGGCGTACGCGGCCGGGAGTTGTTTCAACTTCTCATGGTCATGGAGAATGACTATGGACAGGGCGTTTGGTGTTGAATAAGTAAGCTGATACGTGGGACCAATGATTGGAGCAGTGTGGTTGCATCATGCACAAGGGCTCGGACTCCGACTGAGGGCCATCAGCACGTGAACCAGTCGCTCTGACACGTGTAAGTCAGAGCCCCGGAATTGATGTCTCTGCTTTAAGGTGTACCATTCCTTACATCACTCTTACCATTTATTGCTTTTGTGCCCCCAGAATTTCTCAAATCTAAAACATGCCTTTCAATCATTTATTGACACGTTTATCCCTGTCCCACCCCTTGTCGGCAAGAATTCGTGTCATCAACCTCTCAAATTTTCACCTTGACCAGCCTTATTCTAATCCAGAATTTTCTTAACAAATTTCGCCAGGGAGTGCATGGACATGCGTATGAACGAATCGATGGTGTTTCAGTCCCTTTGAGTTTCTTCTTTGACCATCCTTAGGTTTTCCCTCTCCTTAGTATAAAGTAAGAGTAGGTATAGATTAAAATTTATCGTGTTCAGAAAAAAAAACTCTCAAAATTTTAAATCAACGCCCCTTGGACTATTAACCACTACAAAGGTACTTAAAGTTTTTGTGAGGTGGGAGGTCTAAGAATTTTATCATGCCTCTTATCAATTGCTATTAATATATGACTTTTTCAAATTCAATTGGTATACCTATCTAATTCAGAAGTAGTTTAGACCCCTCCAATTCCCAATTATCCAATTGGGTTTGTTCTCTTTTCCATAGTGTAGAAGTAGAAGTAGGTGTAGGTGTACGTGTAGGTGTACGTGTAGATTATTGACATTTGATAAACAAAAATAATTCTCATAGTGTAGAAGTAAAAGTAGGCATAGGCGTAAATTGTTGACATTTTGACAAAAGAAAAAAAACCTATGAAACTTCTAAACTTGAACCAAGATGTTTGTTTATTTTCTTTTGTAGTCAAGTCGATCCAAATGCTAGTACTTAAAGAAAAATTTTTTAATATGGTTAAGACATAAAGCTAAGTTACTGTGAGACAACAACGCTCTTTACGAGTTTATTATTGATTAGTTTGTTACCTCAATGGACTCAAGTACTTAGGTTGCGTTTAATAAAATTGAAAAATGAAATATGAATCTAAAGATTGAATACATTAAATTACTAAATTGTTAAATAATAAATGTGATACATTTGAACGTATATCATATTAAGTGATAAGTAAATAATTTATCATTTTTTTTTCAAGTTTTGTTTAAAAAATTCAGTACCATTTAATTAATTCAGAAGTTCTATTTTGCTTATCAAATGCATTTGAACATGTTAAGATCTGAATACTGACTTTGGTTATCAAATAGAGCCTTAGACAAGTTTTACATTAGTTTGGCTTGATTTGAACCAAGTATCTACTAGTGTTAGGCTCATGTATGATATATTGTCGGGTAACTTTGATCTCGAATTTGAAACTTTGTCTAATCCACCAAGAAATCAAACCTAAACAAAGCATTCGCGATGATTTTTTTTTACACCCTATGTTTGCACTAAACTTGATTTGCACACTACATGATCTTGAGCAATTTGGAAACCCGAAGTTTTACATATTAAGGCAAGAGGACATTGAATTCAAACAGATCTCGATTTAAGTTTTATCAATCATGAGTTGCATCCGCATTGTATCGCACTTTCATAAGGTATATTCATATCATATAATACTTCCTATCACGGTAACTATTGATTAATTCCTGTGGTTTTCACTCAAAAAAAAAATGCGTTAGCTTATATAATTATAGTAAGAGTTAATCTTATATATACTGATAGTGTATATATATTATCACGGCTAAATATATGACATTTAAGTAAAATTTGGATTTCACCAAACTGTATATATTGAAAGTTAATTATAACAACCTTTTATCTTTTCCAGACTTTTTCCTCACTTGAACTCCACTTGCTACACTGATTCTTTTACACTTCTTCGCCAAAAAGATCAATGTACTTGTTCCTTACCCAAAAATCAAATCGAAACGAAACCAAACAAAACAAACACAGGCTGTAAAGAGAGAGAGAACAATGCCAATAGGGCTGTGCATGCGTGAGTGACGAGAGATTCAAAGCGGATGGTGAAGGAAGAAGATGGTGGTGGCTTGGGGATCCCGAGGAAAATCTGCTCAGGAGTGAGGGAGAGGTCACTGTTTTTGAGGATGAACGAATTCGATCTTTCTTTTTCTCTTCTTTTCTTTTCTTTTCTTTCCTTTCCTTTCTTTCAAAATTATCTTGGTACGAAAACAGCGAGTCTTTTGTCGACAAAAGCCGCCAACGAACCATCGCATACTGTTGTCTTTTCCCCTCCGTTTCTGACAGCGAATTCTTTGTGTTGTTGTCCGGAGCCAAAGCACTAAGAAGCTCCACGTGCACTGCCAAGTTCTGATCCTTGCTTTGGTTTTCAAGACAGCAGTCATATACATACTGGCTTCCGACCAGATTCAACCCTGATATCAATCCACCAGACATTATGCAAATTTATATGCTACACAGAAAATCAAGCCAAGTTAGACTAAATTAGGCATCTTCTCACTCTCAAAACCAGCTAACCTCCCACAATCTTCTCCTCCTCTTAAGCACAATGTCTGCGTCATTGTCAACATAACATCTCGATTCAGTGGCTAAAAGACTTCGGGAATGAGAACTTCAGAGAGCTACTTATCTATTAAAGATGTTCGAATGAGGAAGAATCTAATTAAAAAACGGGAGATTCTTTATCAAGTCCATGGCAAAACAACATGAGGGTTACTCGGGACAATCGAACCTAGTGATAGGATGATGTATATGGCACTTCTCAGCCAATTTGTGACTTAAATTCCTCCAAAATTTGAAGGGTCGAGGTCACCAAAAAATTTTTGTGATCACAGGTAAATAGATAAAGTAAACCAATAAGCTTCCTCTGGTGGCTGCAAATACTGAGTGTTTCATATTATTCCACACAACGGTGGTACTTCTGATGATTAATGCAATTAATTATACATCAGTAGCAACTTATAATGTTCTTCAACAGATTCATTTTGAATTCAACCTGTGAACATCTACCAACTGGTAAAGGTCACCTCTCCTTTGCTTCTCCAGTGGAAGATTAGTCCTACATGCAACAAATTGGATTTAAGAGAACAAAATCATTAACTAGAAACAGATGCAGATGACATTAAAATTTGAAATGTTAAAAGCATAAGCACGTAAACAGAAATCATAATGCGTAAAAGAGAAGACACTGTGTGATGTGCGTGTGGGTGGTTTTCTTTCTCCTTTTTTCGTTTGCTGGGATGGGGCAAGGGGCCTGAGAATCAACACCACTCACCTTCTGAGTTCAGTTTGCGAATAGTCAATCTCTGCTACAATTATAGCTTCTTCGTGTTCTGTAGTTGCTAGCACTTCTCCAAACTGCAACATAGACAAATTCATGGTTTGCTATTACTAAATCTTTCAAATTTTTCTATATACATAGACATATCAAAGTTATATTCGTGGTTGGAGTGAGGGAACCCAGTTCAAAATTTACAGATTAGAAGAGAATGTTTCCCTGTTGAGAAGCCACTCAACATTCCAAAAGGATGAGATAAAAGAACGAAGCCTTGACTTACTGGTCCAACGAGAGTGGAATGGCCCCAAGCCTGATATCCAGCTCCAGGATCTCGAGCTGGTGAACAAGTTGCTACATACAACTGTCATAATATTTACAGAAAAATAAGAATTTAAAGATGAAATTGGTTTCATTATGTAGAACATTCAAACAAATTTCAGAGCCAACAGTCATCTATTACCAGTAAGATCGGCTGAACGAAAATAACATCCAACCATATCAATCTGTGCTTAATTCAATATCGTCTTTCTCACTCTAGCTCATTCTGATGGGCATTTCAACTTTTTAAATCCATTAGTTCTTTTGGCCCAACTTAAGAGTAAGTGATGTTCATCTTCCCCTTTTCCTGGGTCAGACTATCATCATTCACATTTCATCTAATTTGAATATTAATGATTTTATAGGGTTTTCACACATATCCCTAGTAAATTATACAGAGTAAAATAGGCCCGTGCTCCTGCCACTGCAGTTTCTATTTTCTTCATAACATTCAACATACTTCTTCCCAGTTTTAAACAAATTTTCATGTAGCCTGATTTGGAATTGTTAGTGAACTTGTATGGCATCTGGAGTGTGACACTAGTTATATCATCCCCACTAATGAATTTTAACCAATCTAAGGAATGAATTACGAGTATCTGAATTTGACCAGCTCATCAAATTCACTTTCAAAAATTAATGATTCTAATTTGGAGAATGTTTTTGAGGCCTTGATCTACAATTTGAGCAAATGAGTCCTGATAGCAAAAGAGAAGTAGGGAAAATAAGCAGATAGAAATATCAAAGAAACAAAATGAGTACATATACTTGTTACCTTGGTTGAGGAAAGGAATATGTCATTTTAACCTTCTTCCATTTCCAAGTTAAATGTCAACAGATCACCAAGAACAATAAAACTGATCTGGAGATTGTGGAGGGTGGTCATGTATAAATTAGAAATTTAAAGGGATTGCTTGAATACTACCAGAGAATGGTTCCTTCTTGAAAACATTCTTTTTTTTTTTTTGGAGTAAGTGTGAGGTCTTGAACCCAAGACCCCCTAATGAATGTCCTAACAATACTAATTTAGTAGAACTAAATATTTGCCAATAAAGGAGAATGTATGAGGCAAGGAAGCATAAGAAAATATAGGGCACAGCATGCGATGACATTTGGTGCAGACTTGTGACTGAGAACAACTAATCATGATGACAGGAATTTTGATGAGAGCAGAAAATAAGGAACACAGAGACATAAGCAAAAGGTAGTACAATATGTAGAGAACCAGTTGGAGGGAAGCATATATATATGTATGAGAAAGATCCATGGCATCAGTATACCTGATTATCTGTGGCCCTGCAAAGAAAAGTGGAAGACACTATTTAGTATTGTTGAAGAACAGGTGAACTTCACAATAAAAAGAAGTAAAAACCAGTGAAATTACTACTTAAAGAACATTGAAGAACACAAGAAACTTATCCTTTGTCCTACTGGGCCCTGTTTTTCTTTTTTTGTTTGCTATCTTTTCTCTGGGAGGAGGATGGGGAGAAAAAGTTCCATTATTGGATTTTTGTTCACCTAAAAGAGTCAGCAGCCTGTATTTAGCAATCATGGCAAGATCTAAATTCAACTTAAGTTCATGGATTGTATCTAAGGGCAAACTATGTACAACACTAAAGCAGTATGCTTGGTCAAATAGAACAACTACATTGCAAGGGACAAAAGGTTGAGCACATTCTATAGCAAAAATAGTAAGCAAAGGTGCAATAAGGTGACTCGGGAGGTTAAAACTACTCTAATTTAAGTGGAAAGGTTGCATTACCTAACAAGAATATCTGTTTGTGAGGTGTTTTCACTTTGCATCTATGTGAAAATAATTTTGTTACAAATGAGTCATGAAGGCTCAGTTCTCTCTTACAAACACAACATTATCTGAATAGTTTACTATCTGGGCCATGAAGATCCCAAGAAAAAGAACTAAATAATCCAAGCTAGCCTAACGTATTGTTGTCCAACTGGACTCAATTCAGGATAATAAAAATCAATTGTCAAAAACAAAACTGTTACCATAGAGGAATTTATAGCCAACTATCAAAATGTATAATCACCTTGCTCTTTGGAGTAACTCCCAATGCAATGGCCCAGTAGTTGTATTGAATGCACCAGGATAGCAAATCAAGTGTGCTCCTGATGATTGCCAAAGGATTATATAATAGTTAACAAAAAAAAAAGTGGGCATAAGGAAGAACTCCATAAGCAACCACTAAGTATCATATCATGCCTTATATTAGAAGTGCTAATTTCTGAATCTATAGCCCTTGTCAATCTAATTTAATCCCTTTTACCAAACAGTTGCATTGAAAACGATATAGTTGAGAAGCCCACAAGAAAACTCAAGATTACAAGATAGTAGCCCAAGATATATCCAGTCGTCACTAACTAGACAATATATGTCATTTACAGACTAAGAATAACACAAAGGAACTAATAGCTCGAAGCCTAGCAATGCTGCAGACAGCCTGAACAGATATCAAGCACCAAGCCTAGAAATAAGAAAGCAATACAGAACTGAAGAGTTATAAACTTCCGTCTAAAGCAATAATCTTGCTGTAAAAGTATTCATGCTCACACACGACTAAACTGAAATACTTCACCACTTGAAATGGAGGTTTATATCCTAATCTGGCAATTTTTAGATCCATTAGGGTCTTGCAACCTATTCTCTCCTCTGTTCACCAATACTTACATCATGGATATCATTTTGCTACCTATTAAGATGCAGATGAAAAAGAATCAGAAAAGACATATAGACAGCACAAACCTCTTGCTGCATACAATATTGCCAATTCTTGAAATCGAATGTCATAGCAGATACCAATGCCAATCCGTCCAACCTCTGCACGAAGTGATTAGATTAACAGATATGCAGCAGATATTATAAACATTATCAAAGAGTTCAACAGAGAATACATAAAGTATGAAAACACAGATATATATAATATATATATATATATATATATATATATATATAGTCCAATATCAGATGATATTTTCCGTCTTTGAGGTTACCCAAAGTTTTCTGTATTTCTTTGACTTAAATTGCCTAAAAGAAAATGAATTTTGTTGGTTTGGGACCTCAACTTGAACAAAAGAAAAGGTAACAGTACGATAGTGTAATTAGCATGCTATAACTAAAGTTCTATTCACTTTTGTCCTAGTTTTCAATTTAGTGCTTCATTTTTTTCCACTATCACACTTTCTATAGATGTTGATTGCTTTTGCAAGCGAAACTTGTCAAATTTACTCATAAAATAAGTAGGCAACCAGTGCCTCCATAGCGGGTTTTCAGTAATTGATGATAAGGAGTAAACTCATAAAGGATAAGGTAAAGGAAGCAGGACTGTTGTTAGAAGTTTAGACTACAACGGCACATCTATTCTGCATACCAGTATCTACAACTGTAGGAGACTCCCCAGCAGTAAGAGTCTTTGATTCCTTGAAGGAAATTTTACCAGGAATGTCGATATCAAAAAGGTGTATCTGAGACAAGTATGATGCACATTAGAAACTTACTTCAATATGTTAAACAATTTTAACATGATTTACTGTAATTAGCTATTTCTTTTGTGATTCATAACCATAATATGATTGACTGTTAATAGAAGTTCTAGATGCTCAAACAGAAGTTCTTCAAATTATTTGAGTTAATTCTGAAGTAGAACAAGTAGGCATGAAGGACAACTTGGAGAAGGATCTAATTTGGCCAGACAATAAACATGTGCATGTGTATGAGTGAGTGTGTGTACGTGTCTTCGTGCCTGTCAGTCTGTATATACATAGATATGCTGCCTAGACAAATCTAACAAAAAGAAAAGGTCTAGATGACAATAGTCTAGAATGAGCATGTGTCATTTATTAAAGCACTTTGTCATGTCAAAGAACATCGCCATCACCAAACTGCAGATTATCCTGAATATTTCAAACTCCTTATCAACAAAATGTACACAGGATTTACGACCCCTTAATGACAATTCTTGAACTCAATAACAACAGATACTTTTGAATAAGAACACCAGGAGACTGATCAGACTGAAATTACTTTCCTTGGACTCACATATTAGATAGCCTTAAGCAAATACAAGAAATGGAGACAAGATAAATACCTTCCTGTGTTTAGCTATCAGATTTCCATCTGTATCAAAGACACAACAAGTATTATACAATTTATCCCCGTCTCTTTCAGCAATTGATCCTCCTATTATAGTGACCTTCAGAAGACGAGCAGCTTCAGACAACATGGCTGTAGAAGGAGATTTATCAAAACCAGCACCGATGTCCTCAGCATAAACCGGAAAGCTATCATTTGAATATGGACCATTCCATATTTCCTGAAAAAGAGGGAAACATAACTTTCATCTCATACCACTTGCAAAATTCAACAATCAAACTGAATTTCTTAGGAGGAATACTACATCAATTCTTTATGCAATAAGACAAGACATAGAAAAGTTAGTTCAGTGTTGGGAAAAATGTTTTAACACCAGAGTTAATGTGGTCCTTCTCTTCTCAATTTAATAAATAAAGCCTATGTTTATAACATAAGCCAAGATGCAGTACAAACATTTAGCAAGTAGAGATAAATCCACTAGATCAAAATGACTGGAATATATTTCATCTTGCTATAAGAAGAGAAACTGTTGGTCCCAATATGTTGGCCATGTTCCTGTTCCAAAATTATTTACATGCACTGATCCTCAAACCAAGAAAATACCTTTAAACTAGAGTAAAATTCCAAAAAATTTTATTGTTCAAGGAACACTCTGGAATTTCTCAAATTTCTAGCATGGAGATCCAAAAGTTTCTGTTCCAAAATTATTTACATGCACTGATCCTCAAACCAAGAAAATAACTTTAAACTATAGTAAAATTCCAAAAATTTTTATTGTTCAAGGAACACGCTGGAATTTCTCAAATTTCTAGCATGGAGATCCAAAAGTTGTTTTCATACACGAATTTTTTTCCGAGTTACGACAAATCCTTGGTTATCTTCAATGTCTAGATAACTTGAAGAATTCAAACAATATCATGCAACAAATAGAGAGAGAGAGATAAAATCTAAACCCCATAAAAAATTCAATGCTTCCAAATGTAAACAAGGTTTATCAAGTTCCCATCCAACTATAGCCAAAACAATCGAAATTCATCTTTTCCAAGCCCAATTTATTGCAAATTTCACAAGTATAATTAAATATTGAAATTGGAATGCTAACAAGTTCTTTCTAGCTATCGTTAGCAAAGACTAATCAATAACAAATTCAAACACTTGAAAAAGAAAAAAGAAAAAAAAAAGGTGAAAAGCTAATAGCAAGCATATAACTCAATTTTCACACTTCAGAATAAGTTGGGCATGAAAGAGGAAAATGGTGAAAGGGCATGAGTTTACGGGTAAAACGACGAGTTTAGCGCCTTTCTCAGCAGCCTCCTCAATGGCAGTCCGAGCATGAAGGATGTTCCTCTCCTTGTCCGGCGTCACAGCCAATTGACAGAGACCAATTTTAAACTACATTAAACAATAAAACCAATAATTTTCAATCAGAGATACATTCACCAATACATAAATTAAAACACAACAGATAATAATAGCAAATGTGAGAGAAAGCTTTTCATAATTAAAGTTGCCTTGGTGATGGGAGGGGTGGGTAACTGCAGAGCCGGGGGAACCCTAGCTTGTTCGGAGAAGGCCGCCATGGCTGCTGATGCTGCTGCTGCTGCTGAGAGTGTAGTAGGCGTTGACTTGAGGCAGGTGCTGCTGCTTTTAATTGTACGTTTTGGATTTAGGTGGTGAGATGGAGGACGGTGGAGAAAGGGAGTAGTAAGGCGTAGGACAGAGCGCGGAACAGACGGCCGGAGAATCAAAGACGGCGCAGCCGAAGAATAACAATAAGACAGGGAGAAGAGGTAGAATGGAGACTGTTTGGGAAGAAAGAAGCAGCCACTCAAAGTCATTGTTCATTTCCTTCTTTCCTTCCCCATCTCTGTATTGAGTATTCCACCAGCTTCAGCCTGGCCTTGCTAATGCCACTTCAGACTTCAAAGTCTAGTCAACCGGTCAAAGGGCTATGTCAAACTACACGATGTCGTTTGTGTTGTTTTACAGATATCAAAAAATAAATAAATAGAGAAGAGTGCGGTATATTTTTTTAAGGAGCAAAAGACCAATTTAGTCCCTAAACAATTTTCTAAAACCAAAATAGTCTCTAAACTTTAGAGTGAATCAATTTATTAGCCTCTCCACTATTTTTACAAGGATAAGTCAATTTAGTCCCTAAACTATTTTACTTAAGCTGAAACAGTACCTCACCTATATTTATGTGGGCAATTCAATCCTTATTTGGCTGATCCACCTAATTTATCAATTTTTTGCACCAATAATTAAGGGCAAAAGAGGAAATCTAGCCATAACCCTTTCTAAAACCATGGAACAAATTGATATTTGTTGAGAAATTGATAATGAAATTGAATTTTATGGAAAGCAAAAAAAAAAAAAAATTTCTTCCAACTTAGCACATTTTTTTCTTTTTCTTTTTTGCATAATCTTGTTATGTTATTTTCCCCTATTTTCCATTTAATGGATTGATTTGGATCCCTATGAAATTTTTTTTAGGCATCTGCTCTAATTTTTTCACCTTAAGAAGCTTTAATTTGTCTTTTTGCTCTCTATATGATTGAATTTCATTGTCCATTTTCTCACATATATATGTTTTTCTATTGTTTTAATAAGGGCAATGATTGAATATTCTATTTTGCCCTTAATTGTTAGTGTAAAAAGTTAGTAAATTGGTGGATCAGCCATGTAAACATAGGTGAAGGACTATTTTGACTTAAGCAAAACAATTGAAGGACTAAATTGGCTCATAATAAAGTTTAAAGACTATTTTGGTTTTGTAAAAATAGTTAAGGGACTAAATTAGGTCGTAATCAAGTTTAGGGACTATGTTGACTTTAGTAAAATAGTTTAGGGACTAAATTAGTTAGTGGTTTGCTCTATTTTTAAGTGTGCAACTATACTTGTGTTTGTGTTTAGTGCAAATCCAAGTTTTTCTCTTTTATATAATGGGATAATTTCAGACACCTCCCTTGAGATTTTTAATAATTTTACTGAAATCTCTCAAGATTTTAAAAAGTATGCATACATTCCTTATCCACTTAAAATGATAATACTAGATATAAAATTTTAATAAGACTCTCTTAAAAAAAACCTACTATTTCTTTTTGGTATGTGAACTATAATCTTTGAGAATTGGTGCAAGAAGTGTCCATCTAACTATAATTTGCTTTATTGTTAACTGTTTCTATTAAATTGTTTAACTTTCTTTTCTTCAGAAATGAGGTTTGATTTTGAGTAGCAAACATCTATATTTTGGTAGTTCATTTATCATGGTACAAAATTTTGTAAAAAATTAGTAAGTTATTTAACAATATTTTTATTGATATTAAGGAATTACTATTGTGTACTTCATTCCATGAGTACCAGAGTTGTTGACCTTGGTCGATCAATCCTTGGTTTTGATGATTAACAAACCAAAATGTAGATTTGGGCTAATGTTTTTATGTGAGTAATTTGTTAGAATAGATTCTTGTGGCATAAAAGAAGAAGCAAAAACAGGGCACTCATGTCGGACGCTATCGGACGTCCGAAAGGATGAAGAACATCAAGAAGGAAACTCTGTCGGACGCTCGTGAGGAAGCATCGGATGTCCGGAAGGATCGGACGCACGCCTCGGACGCACATCGATCGCATCGGACGTCCGAGAAATTTCGCAAAGATTTGATGACTCTCTGCCTACGTTCGGACGCAGGGTTCGGACGTCCGACAGGTGGTTCGGACGTCCGACAGGCACCTGTCGGACGTCCGACAGGCCAACGGCTAGTTTTGACAGCATTTAATATTTGACCGTTGGAGAGTCTTTTGGAGCCATTTCTCACCTTCTATAAAAACCCCAAAGCACAAGAAGACTAGAGACTTTTGCCAACACAAAATACAAGCTTACAAGTGAGATTTTTGAGTAGAAAGATTCTTTGTTGGTTGTATAAGGGGTTGGGAAAGTTGGGTTGTGAGGTTGCTCAAGTGAAGGTTATTCTCTAAGAGGAGTAAAACCTTGGTGAAGGTGAACCTATCACTTGAAGTGGTAAAACCTTGGTGAAGGTTGCCTCATTTGTGTAAAATAGTTCTTAATTGGGTGAGTGATCTTTCAAGTGTAGGTTGTTGAGGGTTAACTAGAATAGTTGTAAAACTCCTTGGCTCAACCAAAGTGTGTTTGGGGTGAGGAAGGAGTGAGCCTTCACTTGTACATCTTGGTTAGCATCGCCATCTATTGAAGAGGCTATTGGATTGATATTTGGTTTGCATTTCTTATCATTTCACTTTAATTAAGTTTTCTTTATTGTGCTTAAATTTGATATATCTTTGTGCATCATTGTGATATTGTTTGTACTCATTGGGTTGCACCGGACCCTTACAATTGGTATCAGAGCTTGGTCTCTTTTGATCAAGCTTAACCGCTTAGAGTAAAGATCATGGCAACCATAAAAGTTTCTTTTTTAGAAGGGCAATCTATTGATAGACCACCTATGTTTAATGGTTCTCATTTTAGCATGTGGAAACAAAGAATGATGATTTTCTTACAATCCGTTTATATTGAATTATGGTATGTGGTAGAAGATGGTCCTTATGAAGTTAGAATAGTTGACTCCACCACCAATTTGAGTAGATTAAAGACTAGACAAGAATTGAATGAAAAAGACAAGAGATACCTTTTTTTGAATGCCAAGGCCATGTGTATATTGTACAATGCATTAGATGTAAATGAATCTAGTAGGATTAAAGGTTGTAAATCAGCTAAAGATATTTGGGATAAATTGTGTGTATTTCATGAAGGTAACCAAGATATTAAAGAACAAAAGAAATCTTTACTTGTTTCTCAATATGAATTTTTCAAAATGCATCCTCTTGAAAATGTTGATAAGATGTGTAGTAGATTTTGTGACATTATTGAAGATCTTAAATTGCTTGGAAAAGAATATTCTTTGGGTGAGAAAAATAGAAAGATTTTGAATGCCTTGCCAAAAGAATGGGAAAACAAAATAAATGCTATAGAAGAGGCAAAGGATTTAAATTCTATGTCCATTGAATCTCTTGTGGATACCCTAACCTCTTATGAATTAAAGCTGGAATTCAAAGTGCAAGAGAAAGAAAATGCAAGAATGTATAAGAGAGGCATAGCTTTTAAAGCATCTCAAGTGGGGGATAACCCATCCTTCATGGGTAATGAAATCATGGAAGTGGACAATGATATAACTCCTCACATCAAAAGTTTCAAGAAGATCTTCAACAAGAGATGTTCAAGAGGAGATTGCAAAATTACATGGGATGAATGCAATTCAAAAAGAGAAAAAGAAGAGTTGGCCCAAATGGCACTAATGGCTGTTGGAGAAGATGAGGTAAGTTCTTATCACTCTTCTTGTGATGAAGATAATGAAGATGATGATGTGAAAACTCTTATGATTAAAATGCATAAAAGTTTGAAAAAATCTTATGCTAAAAATAAAGATTTGAAAACAAAAATAAATGATTTGTTGGAAGAAAACTCCAAACTTTTTCAAGAAAACAAATGTTTGAGAATGGAAAATGATGATTTAAAAAATCAAAAAGGTGTTTTTGATTGCAAAAATAATTTGAAAAGGAAGTTGGAAGAGAAAACAAAGTTTTATGAAAAAATGTTGGAGGAACAAAATTTGTTAAAGAAAAGAATTAATGACTTGAACGAGGTTCTCCAAAATGAAAAACAAAAGTTTTCTCAAACAAAAGAAAGCAAATCTTTTCAAGGCACAAATAAGTTTGCTAAGAAAATTAGTTGCATTAAATCCATTTATGTGCAAAATACTTCTATCATGTGTCACTTTTGTTGCCAATTTGGACACATGCAAAATGATTGCTATGTAAAGAAAAATATGAGAAAAGGTATGAAATCCATGTGGATTGCTAGATCATGTTGTAATAACTCCCAAGGACCCTATTATGGTCTTGACTTGAAAAATAAAGGGGGAGTTTGCTTTTTGATTGATGTCAAAAGGGGGAGTAGGATTTATTGAAATTTCTTTGCATGTTGGCACTTTCTAAGGGGGAGCTTTATTTGAACTTATTTGATAAAAGAAATCTTCATTTTGTTTGTCATCATCAAAAAGGGGGAGATTGTTGACCTTGGTCGATCAATCCTTGGTTTTGATGATTAACAAACCAAAATGTAGATTTGGGCTAATGTTTTTATGTGAGTAATTTGTTAGAACAGATTCTTGTGGCATAAAAGAAGAAGCAAAACAGGGCACTCATGTCGGACGCTATCGGACGTCCGAAAGGATGAAGAACATCAAGAAGGAAACTCTGTCGGACGCTCGTGAGGAAGCATCGGACGTCCGGAAGGATCGGACGCACGCCTCGGACGCACATCGATCGCATCGGACGTCCGAGAAATTTCGCAAAGATTTGATGACTCTCTGCCTACGTTCGGACGCAGGGTTCGGACGTCCGACAGGTGGTTCGGACGTCCAACAGGCACCTGTCGGACGTCCGACAGGCCAACGGCTAGTTTTGACAGCAATTAATATTTGACCGTTGGAGAGTCTTTTGAAGCCATTTCTCACCTTCTATAAAAACCCCAAAGCACAAGAAGACTAGAGACTTTTGCCAACACAAAATACAAGCTTACAAGTGAGATTTTTGAGTAGAAAGATTCTTTGTTGGTTGTATAAGGGGTTGGGAAAGTTGGGTTGTGAGGTTGCTCAAGTGAAAACCTTGGTGAAGGTGAACCTATCACTTGGAGTGGTAAAACCTTGGTGAAGGTTGCCTCATTTGTGTAAAATAGTTCTTAATTGGGTGAGTGATCTTTCAAGTGTAGGTTGTTGAGGGTTAACTAGAATAGTTGTAAAACTCCTTGGCTCAACCAAAGTGTGTTTGGGGTGAGGAAGGAGTGAACCTTCACTTGTACATCTTGGTTAGC